GCAACAGCCACGCCCCACAGGCCGGAGGCTGCCCCTGCTTCCTGTGAAACCAGCGAAGGCCTCTCACGGCAGGGCCAGCGCACAGCGCAGAGGCCACGCAGCAGCAGGGGAGCCTCCGGCCAGGCGGGCAGCGGGCACGATCAGAAGCCGGCCTCGCCTACGGGGCCCAGCCGCCCGCGCCTCCCCAGGACATAGGCCGCCTCACTGACAATTCCGGGGAGTAAACAGTATGACAGGAAACCCCCTCCCGCTGAGCCCGCCAGGTGAGCAGCGGGTGCTGTCTCTGTCCAAAGTATCGTGGAACCTGGGAAGGCACTGCCCGGGCCCCACTTCCGTGCGAGGTTCGGTCGTGGGATCTCACCCCGACGCCCCCGTCTCGAGGACACGTGTGCGTGCCCGTGGGGGTCCGTGTGTTTTCGCACCGGGCTGAGGCATCCTCATGCCGGGCGGCAACAGTCCTACCGGCAGGGCCGTTGCGTGTGAAAAAAATAACTCCCAGTCGGGGAATCCCCCGCGGTGCGTAGCGGCTGGGCCGATGACGCAGCCCGCCTGTCCCGTTTGCTGCCTGGTGACAGCATTTGTGCTGCACCTCACACCCAGGCCTCCGGAGTGGCAGGGTGAGCGGGGTCCAGTGACAGCTCCGCTGGGTACATTTTCCGGTGCGTTTACGCTCCCTTGGCCGAGAGCCCGCCCCAGAGAGTGCCCCCGGCCCCGGCCCCCGCTCGCTGCTTCTGGCAAACGCTGCCTTTCCGCTTACACACCAGTCCCCGTGGCCCTGTGCATCCAAAGGGGGGGCATGTGAACGGCCTCAGTAAGGGAGACATCCTGCATCTTTTCCAGGGCATACCGACCCGACCCGCTTAAAGGAGTTGTTGAGTTAGTAGATGATTCATTTCATAGCGCACTCCCAGGATTGGAAGACTTCAAAGACCGTGGCTTACAACCGGGAGATTTTTGTCCATTGGGAAAGGTACCCGTTGAAGACCCCGACCTCGCTGGAAAGGACATCATCAGGCACCAGCCACGAATGGGGGCCGCCCTGTCTCTGACGCTGGCCTCGGCCCAGCAAAGATCAGACATTTCCTGGGGCTGAGAGGCGCCGACCGCAGAGGGCGACAGCTCGAGGAAGACGCCACAGGGCCCGCATGCCAGAAGTTGGTGTCGAACGGAACCACCCATTTGCTGGATCGTCTTCACCTGTCTGCTAAGAAGAGTGGTCATAATAATCGTTATTCTTGTTCCTGGGGCTTTTCTCAAAGGTTGCGGGTACGGCCCAACTGTTAACAACCGCCGAGGGCGTCTTAACTTTTGTATTATCAATAATACTCTTTTTATGGTTCCTTTTTGGAAAATTTAGAAGGAATCCTATTGCAAAAGGAAGGTGAGGGATGTGTGTGTTTCTGAGAGAAGTTAAAAGGCTGCACCTCATCCTATGATTTGTTTATTTCTGAATGAGTCAAAGGGGAGAGCAAAGAGGGACGGGGAAGCTGTGGAAGAATAGCAAAGCGGGGAGTCGGAGACAGGAACTGCGTGTATAAAGGCTTGAACAAAAGCGGGGCCACACGCTGATCCGGGCGCGCGCAGGGGAGGCCCGCGTGGCGGCCTCACACACTCACAGACCACAAGGAGCCACACAGCGGTCTGAACACCGAAGCTCCTCATTCAGAGTGAGCCACAGCAGGCGGCCATGCCTGCTGCTTCCTTGGCAAAGGTCAGCCTCTCCCTTACCTAAGCGAGCGAGTCTGGTGGGGTTTTTTGGGGGGTATTTTTGCCTCTAAGCTAACGCACCGTGGACCTGTCAGAGTGCTCTCCCCTCCCGGTCTCAGGGCAGGCGTGACGGAGCCCTGCCTCGTGGCCTGCACCGCTCCGCCTCCGGCCGTAGGCGTGCCTGTCCAGTCTGCTCCGAGGGAGAGGGTCTGGGCGTCTCTTGCGTACCTGTTACCGACGCCCAGAGGTCTCGCCGCTTTGCTTGCTCCTTAACCTACCGCCAGTGGCCTTCACTTGACTTCCCCCTCACATCTCCTTTGAGTCTCGTGTATAAAATGAGTTGTGAAACTGCCGTTCTCTGGAGCGTTTGCTCAGTCCGTTGAGGTTTTGCTTCCTGGCCATTGTTGTCAGTTTGGCTCAAATAAACTCATAAAACTTCTCTGCACATTGAGACGTTTCTGGCAGCAACAAACACTAAAACACAACGCTAGGAAGGGGCTCGCCCCCTAAGCCAGCAAGGGCCACTCGCTGCACTAAGTCGCATGGAAGCTGAAGGGGCTAAAGACAGGACCCTCTGTGACGAAGGCCGCTGCGGCGCAGGAAGTTCCCTTGTGAAACTCTCACTGTGCCCTCGCCTCTGGGGATTTTTAGGCACTTACTGTGATTTACAGCGTGGGGTTCTCACAGCCTTGGCCCCGGCTGAACCCTAAAGTTACAGTTCCCAACTGCACAGCTAGCAGGGATCAGATTAACAGCGGTAACACGTGAGTGCATCCAACAGGACGTAGATGGGCCGTATTAAAACAACAGCAACGAGCCCTGGCTGGCGTGGCTCAGTGGATTGAGTACCAGCCTGAGAAGTGGAGGGCTGCTGGTTCGGTTCCCAGTCAGGGCACATTCCTGGGTTGCAGGCCAGGCCCTCAGCAGGGGGTACATAAGAGGCAATCCTGGTCATAAGAGGTTGTAGGTCAGGAATGGCCCCAAAGTGTTTTTCTTTAAAAAAAAAAAAAAAATTAAAAAAATTTATTTTTAGAGAGGAAGAGAAAGAAACATTGGTCAGTTACCTCTCATATGCACCCCAACCAGGATCCAAACCCATAAGCCAGGCATACACGCTGCCTGGAATCGAACCGGTGACCTTCCACTCTGCAAGAAGGACGCCCAACCCACTGAGCCACACCAGCCAGGGCTGGAGGGAGTTTCTGAATGAAGGCCCATGAGACCTGCCAGCCTCCCATGTACCTGCCTTTCCCTTTTGAGAAGAGTTGGGCCTCAACTTTCACCCAAGGTGGCCCCACCCCCAACGGCTCATCCTTCAGGCAGACAGACGCTGCGCTGAGACGCCCCAGGCACGAGCCTTCCTGGCACCGAGGGGCTCTCTGTCCAGCCAAGCGCTCGGTCATCAGCACATCCTTCAGGTCAGTTTATGACCAGCAGGGGGATGTGTGGACAAAAAAGGGGCCACATGCTAAACCCGGTGAGCTCGGGGGAGACCTGCATGGGGGGTCTCTGCAAACCCAGAGACCAGAAGTAACCGGAGGTCTGAACACCAACATCCCTAACTAAAGGCGGCCATAGCAGTGGCCACGGCCTAGGCCTGGAGTGGCTTCCTTGACAAAGGTCTCTATGTCCCCTGAGCCTGTCTATTGTCTTTTTGCATCTACACAACACACCCCGAGACGTCAGGGTAATTTCCTCTCCAGGCCCGACCTCCGCCAGGCAGACCCGGGAGCCCCGCCTCGGCCTCCGTGGGCTGGAGATGTTCATTGCTCACAGTCCTGCATCCGCTGCCCTGCCGTGAAAAAAGCGCGTGCCTCTCCACACTACGCGTTCTCTAACCTCACAGGTTTCCCCAATTTGTTTTCTCCTGGCCCCTTTAATCTGCCGCCAATATGGAGCCCTCTTAAGTCTCCTCCTTTGATTCTAACTTATAAAATAAGCGGTTAAAACTGCCATTTTTCCAGAGCATTCTTTCAAATCGTTGAGATTTTATCTTCCCAGCATCGTCCTCAGTTTGGCTCAAGTAAACTCATAAAAATTCTCTACAGGCTTGGCCATTTCTTCTCTGGACAGCACCTGACAGAACAGAGGGCCCGTCGGGGGCGGGCGGGCGGGCGGCCCTTCTCAGGGACGGGCCTGGCGCGTGGGCCGCAGGGGCTGGTCCCCCGTCCCAGCAGCGCATCCTGTGCCGACCCGGTGGCCGAGGGCAGCCCCACCCCGTGCTGAGTCCTCCCGGCCTAGGTCTTGCCCACCCCCCCAGTGCAGGGCAGGGCTGGCCCCGGGTGTCCCCCTTCCAGGTCGCTGCAGGCGCTCCCGAGCTGAGAAGGACCAAGCATCGGGCTCCGGCCGGGTGGCTCAGCTGGTTACAGCAGTCCCCACGCGACGGGCCGAGGCTGCGGGTGCCAGCTCCCTTCAGGGCACAGAGAAGAAAGCCGCTAACGCTCCCCAGGTGGCGTGGCTCAGTGGATTGAGTGCCGGCCGCGAACACAAGGGTTGCCGGTTCTATTCCCAGTCAGGGCACAGGCCTGGGTTGCCAGCCAGGTCCCCAGTAGGGGGCGCGTGAGAGGCAACCACACAAGGATGTTTCTCTCCCGCCCTCCCTTTCCTTCTCTCTAAAAATAAATAAATAAAATCTTTTTAAAAAAGCAGCAACCCATGAATGGATAAAGTGAAGCAACAAATTGATGTTTCTCTCTCCAAAAAAAGAAATAAATCAAATAAAAAAAAATAAACCACGTATCCCTGAGCCATGGGAGAAGGCAGCCCAGAAGGGAGGAAGACTCTGGGGGTCTCCGCGCTCCGACCTGGATCTCACAGGGTGTTGGGGAGAAAAAACTCTCGGACTCCCCAGGGCCGAAGGAGGATGGCGCCCTGTTGTTTTCGGAGAAAAGGGAGTCGGCAGGGCGAAGGGTCCGGCGTTGAGGGAAAGGGCTCCCCGAAACGGGAGTGCTGGGCAGTGCGCAGGGAGGGGCCCCTGAGCGGGCCTTGGAGCAGAGGCGCGCTCGACAGGCGGGGGCGCGCGGGCCACCACGAGGGAGCGCTCCCGGCTCCCGCCCCCTGCCCCACCCCCGTGAGCCCCGGAGTCCCTCCCGGTCCCCCTCCCTCCCCTGGGCACCGCCCCCCCGCTCTGTCCCGCACTCGCCTCGCTGCAGCGCGCGCCCCAGCCGGGAGGGGGCGCCGGCGCGAGGCCGGCCGAGCCAGGCGGGGGATTCAAGCGCGTTATAAAGCGCAGAGCCCGAGAGCGCTCGATTCCCGAACGCCGCGCGCAGAGCCGAGAAGGACCCACCGCCCGCATGGCTTCCGCCGGGGCCCTCCTGCTGCTCGCCTACACGGGCCTGCTGGCCGCCGCCGCCGGCCTCGGGTCCCGGGACCCGGGGGCGCCCGCGGGGAGCCGCTCGCGCCAGGAGCCGCTGCCCGGGAAGGAGCCGCCCGCGGGCGCCCTGGAGAGCCTCGCGAGGCGCGACACCGGCCCGCCGGTAAGACGCCGCGACGCGCGACCAGCCCCCGCGCCACGGGGACCTCCGGGCCTCAGTTTCTCCACCCTGAGCCGGCGGCTGCTCGAGGTCCGGGGCGCAGCGAGGGAGGGAGGTGGTGGGAAGCGCGGGCAGGGACTGATGTCGGGCGTGTCCCGCTTTCTAGCGTGGGGATCGAGACTCCTAACCGTCGGGCTTCGGGGAGAGAGAGGAGTCTGGACACCGCCCCTCTGCCCCGCTGGGTACTGCAAAGGCCAGCCTTGGCCTTGGCTCCTGGGAAGTCTCCTTTGGCATTAAAGCACAATTCTGGAGGCCAGGGGCAAATGCCCTTTCGTTTGGGACAGAAGGCCATTGGGAAACAAGTGGAAGTAGCTTGATTCTCATGAAATTGGGAAGAACTGAGAGCAAATGACCAACCCCTCCCTCCACCTATTTGGTGGAGTTCCCGGGACAAACAACCACTTCTGTGCAGGTCTGGGGAAGGACGGGGGTGGGGGTGGGTGGGAGGGTCAGACCCCCCAGGGATGTGGGACTTCTGGACAAGAAGGCGTCATCTCTAGCTCCTCCCTGCACCCTCCTCCCCAGCCGAGGTGCAGGGAGCCAGGTTGGGGAAGGGGGGGGCTTTCAGGGGGGTGTGGTGTGCGACCTTTCAGACCAGCCCCATGGTGGTTTGGGGTCCCGTATTATCACGATGCTTACGGACAAGGGGCGGAGTGGCAGCAGGGCCTCGGGGCGGTGCCTCTGCTCCCAGCTTCGCTGGCCAAGGACGCCCCACCCGCGCAGGCGGCAGCCAGCCCTCCCAGCTCCCTGGGCGGGCCTCCCTGCGGTCTCCCCTCCCTGCCACCTCAGCCCCTTCCCGCAGATGGCAGGCAGACCCCTCCAGGTCGGCCACACCCCCGAGGGGCAGGGCCACCAGCTGTCGGGGACACACTGCCAAGAAGCGCAGGGGGAGCCAGGGTGCTTCCTGGTGGGGCTCTGGCCTTGGACCCTCTTTGGGGGCCCCGGTGGAGCCCCAGAGGCTGGAGACCTCCGTCAGCCACTGCAGTGGCCCGGCACCCCCCGCGCCACAGCCGGCCCACCTCCTAGGGGCCCCGTCCCACGTGGCTCCACCTGCTGCTGCTCCGCCGCAGCCCGCTGGGGTCCGGCCCGTGTGCAGGCCCCGGCCGGCCGTCAGGGCCGGCCCCCGCCCGCCGCACGCCCGTCGGCCCCCGTGGAACCCCGCCGTGGGTCCCCTCCGGGGCAGCGCGAGGCCATGGGGACGTCCCCGAGAGGGCAGGGGCCCCGGGCCTCCTCCTGCAGCCGCCCGCACGTCCCCGCTGTCGCACGGTGGGCCCTGGAGAGAGCGTGGCCACGAGACCAGCAGGCCTGGCTCTGGTGGGAGGGCCTGGCTGGCTCTAAAGCCCTGGGCCCTTCCATCGGCCACTGGAGTCGGTGCCCATGACCTCATCGAGGCCCTCGGGCCAATCTCCTTCCCGGCTGGCAGCCGTGCCTGGAGCCCGGCCATCCGGGCCGCTGCCCACGGGCCAAAGGCCTCTCTCCCTGGGAGGGTCCTCCTGGGACCTCCCCTCGGCGTCCCGACGGTCAGGGAGCAGCACGCACGGGGACATGCCCTTCGGGGGATGCCCCTGTCCTGGCGCGGATCGATGTCCTGAGGGAGATGGCAGCGCCGTGCCCTGTGTCCAGGCCTTTGATCCTGGCAGCTGGGGTCCGGGTTGCCCAGGACCGAGGTACCCGGACCCCAGCTGCCCTGGCCTGAGGGCGGACGTTGGGCCCCTGGGACTTCAGAGGACGGGGGGACGGGGCGAGGCCTGCTGAGAGCTGGAGGCTCCAGTACCCGGTCGCCGCTTCCTGGGCGCCTGCGGGCGTCTGGGCAGACCCTCCGGGTGACTGTGCTGTGGAGGGAGCCGTAAGGGGCGCAGCGGCCCAGCCGGGGGCTGCCGCCGGCTGCGCAGCTCCACGCCGTCGCCCCGGCCACACCCGGCCCGTCTCCCACACAGTCCAGGGCGCAGCGGGGGCACAGCGGAGGTGCCGCGAGGCCCATTCCCCAGGGCCCCGCCACCTACAAGGACAGGCCCCGAGGGCACTGACGGCGGCTGTGTTCCAGGAGCTCACCGCCCAGCCAGCACTCAGCCTGAACCCCCGGGACACCTGGCTGTGGTTCCTCAGGCACAGCGACAAGGAGGACAGGGGCAAAGACAGGAAGCTGAAGGTGAGCAGGGAGCCCCAGCCCACCTGCGAGCCCTCCCAGCACCCCGGCCCCCACGCCGGCCCCCGCTGCACGCCCCCGCACGTCCCCAGGCACAGACCCTCACCCTTGGCCTGGGGCCGGAGAGCCCGGGAAGTGGCAAGCGACCCTGAGTTTGCCGCCTGTTCCCACCATTTACCCGGCACCCCTGGAATGCCAGGCGCCCCGCTGGCTGCCCTCTCTCTCTTCCCTCTGCGTCCTGGGCAGGGGGCCCGGGCTGGCGCAGGAGGGCGGCTGGCAAAGCAGGGACCCTCGCTGCCTTCTCAGCAGAGCCCTTGGCCCCCGGGGCTGACCTCCCCCTCGGAGGTCAGAGGTCAAGGTGGAGGCCTGTTAGTGGCGGGGTGCATGGTTCCCAGCCTGCCCACCAGGCGTCCTCACGCCAAGCTTCCCTCCCAGCTCGGCCTGCCCCGGCCCCCAGGGCCCCGCGACCCCCAGAGCCCCCCAGGCACCATCGCCTCCTCAGAAGAACAGCGGTTGGAGCTGCAGCAGCAGCTGAGAGGTAGGGACGTGCCCGCGGGTACAGGCCTCAGCGGGCCTCCTGGAGGGGCCCAGGCGGGAGGCCTCGTGCCCTGCCAGGCTCAGGGGCAGGAGGGCAGTAAGGAGGGGGCTCCGCGGAGGAAGGTGGCCTTGACCGCTCGGTGCCCAGTGGGTGCTTGGGCATCAGCACCCACGCCCCACCTGCAAGTCAGGTGAGTCCAGGGAAGGCCCGGAGTCCTGAGCCCCACAGCCCTCGAGCCAGGAGAGTCAGGGAGGGGTCGGGGCTCCTTGTGCTTTCAAAGTGTTCCTCTGAGTCCCCCAGCGACACCAGGGCGATTTAAGGCTCACCCCAGTCAGCACAGGCCTCCTCTTTGGGGACCCCCACTCCCCCCAGCCCCACCACCTCTGCCCCTTCCCCGGCAGGGCCTCAGCTGCAGGCGCCGAGCCTCCTGGGAGGGCGCCGGGGGCCGCCCAGCAGGGCAGGGAGGGCAGCGCAGTGCAGAGCCCAGCCCGGCTCCCCCAGGTCGGTCCGGGGCCCGCAGGGTGACCCCTGGCCACAGAATTTACTAGATTCACTCATTAGGCAGAGGGCCCAGTGGCAGAGCTCCTCACCCTTCAAGTCACTGTCACCTTCAGTTAAACACAGCAGCTTCCAAGAAACCAGAAACTTTGTTTCCAGTGGAGCTGCAACAATCATTCACACTCAGCTCCCTTCCCCAAATGAGGAGGCCCTACGGGTAGGGGACAAGGTTGCACTGAACAGAACTGGGAACAGAAACGGCGGCGCGGAAGGGGGAGCCCGGGGAGGGCAGGGAGGCCCGGCGGAGAGCCAGGCGCTGGCTGCATCTGCCCCGAGCTTCCCGGTGGCCAAAGCGTGGCGGGAAACACCAGCAGCCGCGGCTTCAGGGGGCAACATGTCTGCCGGCCCTGCAGGCTGGGGTGCGGTCTCCTGGGGGGAGGGGGCGGGCCGGTGCGCTCAGCGCGCGGCCGCCGCTCGCTCTGTGACAGCTGCGACCGAGCGGCAGCGTGGGGACGTGGAGCGCCGCCCTGCCCCGGAGGACGAGGCGGAGCCGGCGAGGGGCGCGCACGCGGCGGCCCCGCCGATCCAGGCCTTGAACCGCGGCTCGCGGGTCCGGCCCGTGGAGGCCGCCTTCCACTGCCGCCTGCGCCGGAACGCGTCGGTGGAGCGGCGCGCGCTGCACGAGCTCGGCGTCTACTACCTGGTGAGTCCGCGCGGGTGGCCGGGCGAGGGGCGGCGCGGGGCCTGGGTGACCGTGCGTGCGCCCCGCAGCCCCAAGCCGAGGGAGCCTTCTACCGCGGTCTCGGCCTGAACCTGACCAGCGGCCAGTACACGGTGCCCGTCGCCGGCTTCTACGCGCTCGCCGCCACGCTGCACGTGGGTGAGGCCCGGGCCGGGCGCAGGCGGGGCAGGTGGGGCTATGGGGCCGCCCTCGGCTCCGCCCATCGCCCGCAGTGACCACCCCACCCCCTCCTCCCCTAAGCCCTCCCGGAGCCGCGGAGGCCGGCGCCGCTGCGCCCCCGCGACCGCCTGCGCCTGCTCATCTGCATCCAGTCCCGGTGCCAGCATAACGCGTGAGTGGGCGCAGGGGTGCGGGGCACGCAGCTCGGGCACCAGACCGGGCGCCGCGCCGGGCTCGGGAAGACCCTTTCCCCATCCCCACAGCCGCTGTGGCCCGGGGACCCCGGCGCTCCCGTCCCCGCCGCCGGAGGAGCTGTTCACAGGCACATCCCCGCGCGCCCTGGGCGCACTCCGCAGCCTCGCCGCCCCCCACCCCAGGGGCAGGCCTGGATGGCCTGCTCGCTGAGCCCTTCCCTGACCGGCCCACGCGTTCCGGCTCCACTCGCTGCTGCGACCTTCACCGCGTGGACCACTGCGCCCTCCTGTTCCCGGTCCCGGAAGGCAGGGGCTGGCAGAGGCTGGAGAAGGCAGGAAGGGGTGAAGTTCTGCACCTCGGCCTGACCAGGCTTCCCCCCGACCCCCCCGCCCTCCCCCCGCAAGCAGCCAGTGCAGAGCCTGCTCAGCAGAGCTGCCCTGGCCCGGCCGGCGCTCCTCTCCTGGCCCTTAGGACCCTTGGTTCCGGGGACACTGGCCTCCTTTGCGGGACCCAATTCAGATACAGTCTCCACCAGAAGACCCGACAGAGACAGCCGGCCCCCGGCACATTGCTGGGCCGCCCGTCCGTGGGGAGCGCATGGTGGGTGACGCCGGTGGCGTCTGGGGTGGGCGGCTCGGGCTGACCCTCCCCGCTTTGGCCACAGCTCCCTGGAGACCGTCGTGGGCCTGCCGAGCGGCAGCGAGCTCTTCACCATCTCCGTGAACGGCGTTCTGTACCTGAAGGTGCGGGCCTGCCTGGGCGTCGGGGGCACCCTGGACACAGCCATGGGGTGGCCTGCCTGGGCGTCAGGGTGGCAGGGCTGCACGGGAGCCCGGGGTCAGCCCGACTCCCGGCCTGGGGAGGCGGGGGCCATGCCACAGCCCTCAGGCTGGCGCGGCTCCTGGCACCGGCTTTGAGGCCTCTCGGGTCCGGTCCAGCCAGCGGTGGGTCAGAGGCCCAGCTGCAGGGAGGCACTGGGCGGTCTGGCCTGGTCCTGGCGCCTCACAGCTTGCTGGGCGAAGTGGCTCGTGGTGCACCCGGGCTCGGGCGGGTCTCCCGAGTCTGCAGCTCTGGGGGTTCCCAGGGGATCCTGCTGGCGTGTGGGCCACATTTGGAGCAGGCGGGCCAGAGTGCTGGTCGGGCCCATGACGGCCGTGCCAGACGGGTCAGCGGCCAGGCCTGCGACGCAGGGCTGCCCCCAGCCCGGTTTAGAGCTGGCTGGGCTCCGCATGCCACCGAGAAGCCCGTGGGACTCGAACCCTCGCCCGCGCTGAGCCGGGGCCGGCTCCCACGCGGAGAGCGCTGGAAGGCGTCGGAGGCGCTGGGTGAGAGGGCGTGTGGCCGGCAGGCCCGGCTGACGCGCCTTTCCCGCAGAGGCGGCAGTACACCTCCGTCTTCCTGGACAACGCCAGCGGCTCCCTCGTTACCGTGCGCAGCGGCTCCCAGTTCAGCGCCATCTTCCTGGGCCTTTGAGAGGAACCCCTGGGCAAACCAAGCTGGTCCCGGCGACCGGGGCTGTGCTGGAGCCGTGGAGGATGTGGCTGGAGGAGGCCCACTGTGGCCGCCCACAGGACGGCCCCTCCAGGCGGCCTGGGGAGGAGGCGGGCGGCCCTGGAGCTGGAGGAGGCCAGCTCTTGCCCCATGTGCCCAGGAGCCCTGGCTCTGCCCTGTCCCTGGTGGTGGGCCAGCCCCTCCTGGCCCATCAGGTAGGCCTGCCTACAGACTCAGCTTTTCCGCGTGGCCCCGCCCTGCCGTTGCCCTCTTTTCATCTGTGGCTGCGGCTGCGGCCCTCCCACTGCGCCATCTCCCCGGGGCTCCCCAGCCCCTGCTGGCCCCTCCCCCGACCCTGTTGCTGGCGTGCCCAGGACTGCAGGGCACTGCTTGGCCTGCACTGAGCACAGGACCCGAGACTCCCGTTGTAGCCCTTGGCACAGCAGCCTTGGACGCCGGGCAGATGCTGGGCAGGGCCTGGGGGGACCCGGCGAGTCTGGGCCTGGCTGCCAGGAGCCCGTTTCCTGCCTCCCGTGCGCGCCTTACCTGGCCCGCTCTGCTCGCAGGCAGGGGCTTTCCAGGGGAGCCCCTCTCTGCAGACCTGCTCACAGACAAGCCCTTCCCATCCCCTCTGTCTCCTCTGAGGCTGACTCGCTGCTGGGACCCGGCCCCTGGAAAGAGCCAGAACATCCTTGCAGGCCCTGCCCATCCAGCCACCCAGGGCAGCGGCTTCCCGGTGCCCAGCCACGGCCAAGCAGGGCCCGCCAGCCCCAGGCTCCTCGAGGCGTCCACCCCGCTTGGGTAGAAACAGGCCCTGAGCTCGGGCAGGGGCAGAGATCGTGCTGAGAAAAAGCTGGTCCTGAGAGGGCTGGGTACAAGCCCCCGTGCTGCGGCAGCCACGATGGCACCCGGGGAGCGGGGGACGCCCCGTGAGGCGGCGCGGCTGTCAGCCTACAGCACACCCCTTCCGAGGAGCAGGGCCATCCCGGAGTCGGGGGGCCCTCCAGTTACCCCAGCCCCCCACCTCTGCACGCTGGGCTCACAGGATGCCCCGGGGCCCAGCTGGGTGCACTCAGACCTGGGAAAGAAGGGGACCGTGGCTGCTGTCACCTGAACCTCCTAGCTGCCCTCAGGATGGCTTCCCTAGGAGCCCAGTTTCCGTCCCCGCAGAGAATCCAACATCTCGCTCCCAGCCAGGCCCCACCCCACACCCAAACGCAGCCCCCCCGAGCGCCGTGCCCCCTGGCAGGCCAGCACGGTTCTCAGTAGGGCCTGCACCCGCCCTACCAGGAAGTGCCAGCTGGCTGTGCCCTGTGTCCCCACACTGTCTGATAAGGGCAGGTGTAGCCACAGATATTTTGGGAAAGTTATTTTTTTCCCCTTGAAAAAGCCACAGATCTCTCATTTTTCTCAGCCTAAGTGTCATACTGCCATTTATTAAAGTATTTATTGTGTAATGTTGCCAGGTGAAATATATATTTATGTAACTGACTTTATGAAGTGGTTTAAGTATAATTGTTACGTGATTGTACAAAATTACAAAAATAAAGTGTAAACCTTAAAACACAGAACCCTCATCATTAGGCTACCAAGAATGGTGAGCGGGGGCCTGCCGGGGTGGAGGGGGGGTGCCTGGACCCCGGCGGTGGGGCAGGGTCCAGCCGGGTGGCCGCAGTGGCGAGCCGCGCCCAGCTCTGGGACAGGCACTCGGGGCACTGGGCCGTGAGTTGCAAACGACACCTACTTCGTCGCAGGAAGACGTTCCTGCAGAAACCGCTCTACCTCCCAATGCCGAGATGCTGAGGTTCCTGCCCCGCGACGCCAGAGCCCTCAGGGGCCGCGAGACAGGGCGCGTAACAGTCTCGGCTGGGAGATGTGCTCAGACGTCCCCAAGGTGCTGCGGCAGAGACACCGATCCCACTAACCAACCAACCAACAGGGTGATAAGACCGCGTGCACGCTGGGCGGGGGCCAGTGCACATACAGAACAGCTCTCGGGTGGCAAGTTCTTAAAATCTTACATCACCCGGAAGCGAGCACTCACCCAGAGACCTGAGAGCTTCTCCCCTAACAAATAATCGCAGCGACACCCACGGCTTGTTTCACAGTGAAACAAGCCCCTGAAAAGCGCCAGTACTTCCTATTGTTCCAAGTGGGCGGAGTGTGCACGTCTCCCTCCAACGCCTGACAGGAGGGTCCCCAGGGGGGACAGACCTCGCCCGGCAGGGCCCACAGGCCAGGGCGCCCCGTCCTGAGACCCAGGACCCCCGGGGGCGCCTCGGGCAGAGGCCAGGGCAGGCGGCCTCGTCCCCCCGCCCGCCGTCCAGCTGATCCCGCACAAGCCCGTCTGGGCCCCCCTCGCTGTCGCACTGACGGAAGCTGAGGCCGCGCCGGTCCCAGCCGGTCCCAGCCGTTGGCGCCTCCCCAGCCAGGCCCGCCCCAGGGTGGCCCGGAGAGGGCTTGACTGCCACAGAGTGCGCAACGAACAGCGCGCAGGCAGCTCCACTAGCCGGTCCTCCAGGGCACGCGGCGGCCTGCACGGGGAGACTGGGGGCACGTTAAAAAGCAAACAGAGCTGACCTCTGAAGGGCCGAGCGCCTCAAAACGCAGCCAGATAAGAGACTAGAAAAAGGGGAACTTTATTTACAACCATGGGAGTCCCACAGGAATACACGGAACACACATGACGTGCACACACACAGGCACCAGCCGCGGAGCCCCCACTGCGCCCTCAGTGCCCGATCCGCACCAGCATCACGGTGACGTTGTCCGCCGAGCCTCGCTGCACCGCCTTGTTGGCCAGCCTGTTGCAGGCGGCCTCGTAGCGGGCGTCCACGGCGGGCTTCCCTTCGCGGCTCTGGATCTTCTCGTCCTGTGGGGCCGGGAAGGGTGCTGGTGAGAGGGGCCCGGACGCACCTACTGCCGAGTCCCCCGGGCACAGCGGGCGTGGACACAGGCACGAGGGGGCCCCCCAACAGGCGCGCGGGGTCTCAGGGCATGTGCCTACGGCCTCAGGGCAGCGGGCTAGTGCCCCCCCGCCAGCCCGGCACAGCTTCCCGCATTTCCTCTGAGAGAGAAGGGGAGGGAGGGAGAAAGGGAAGCGCCGAGGTGCGAGAGAAGGCCGGCTGGCCACCTTCCGCACCGGCCCGGCCCGACGGGGCCGCACCCACAGCCGGGAACTGAGTAGGCGGCCTTCCGGTCTGCGGGGCGGCGCCCACCACCTGGGCCGCGCTGGCCGGGGTCCTGATGGGACCTCTCACCTCGAGGCAGGACAAGATGAAGTTCACAGCTTCCTCGGGGGTAAAGACCTTGAAGAGGCCATCACAGGCCAGCAGGATGAACCTACAAAAGGGGAGGAGAGAGACGGCTTGGACAGTGCATTTTAGAAACTGGCCAGTGACAGAAACCAAATGCACGTCCAACCACCGAAAGCTAGGAATTTTCAAAAACCAATTTAACTTCGATGAGCTAAATACTGAAACTACTTAAAAATAATTGTAGTAACTGGGACGAGCAGCCTCTGTCCATGAGTAACGTCCGTACGGGCTGATTTGAGCATTGGGTCCTACGCTCTTAGACAAACTCAAAAGGAAAGTCACCAAACAAACAAAGCATCATGTTAGCTACCTCACACAGACACCCCCAGAGATTCTGTCCCCACCCCCGCTTCCCAGACCCGGGACGAGGGGCGCGGCTCCCACACGAAGGCCCCGCCGAGTCCCAGCCCTAGGACACCCCCCGCGTTCACGCTCTGAAGGCAGGGTTCTCCCCCGCACGCCCGCCCCCCGCACAGCAGCAGCGCCGGTGTGCAGGCCGCTGCTCTCCGAGCACCGCGGCCCCCGCAGCCACCCCCTTCCTCACCGCCACACCCGGGTCCTGCTCCCCCCCCCCCTCCTCCTCCCCCTCCTGTCCGGGCGCACGTTCCCCAGGTGTGTCCCGGCAGGGGCCTGTGCCCGGGCGGCGGGGCGCCAGCCCCACAGAAGGCCCCTGCCCCTGCCCCCTCCCCGGGGGGAGGGGTGACCGCGACCCAGAGCGTAAGGAGCCGGCAAAGCCGCCAGCAACACGGCCGAGACCCTGGGGCCAGCGAGGACGCGCGGGGGCAAGACTCGGCTGCTGCGCTCTGGAGGGCCCTCTGCCCCCAGGCCTTCCTCACGCCTCTCCCCACTCAGTCCCGTGACCCCTGGGAGGAGCGCTCCCCAAGTTCCGCTGCCGCAGCTCAGCACCCCCGCGAGCCAGGGCCACTCGCCGGCCCCTAACGAGCGCGCCTCCGGGCTCCATGGGGCCCAACACTCAACGAGGCAGCACCCGGCCACCTGGCGCCTGACCCGGGGCCCCATCGTCAGGCAGCTGGGATGCAACGGACCTGCGAAAGGCGGTCTCCTTCCCAGCCGAGCTCGGCTCTGCCTAAAACCCCCACGACCCTCCACCACCAATGAGAAGCTAAGTTCAAACTCCTCAGCACGGAACGCAGGGCCCACCACCCTTGTCCCAGAGTCCCCTGTGGCCCCGTTGCTGCCACCTGCCTGGCTGGGCTTTACTGCCTCTGTCCTCTGTCAGGAGGCCCCCCTGCCTCCTGCAGCGCACCCTGCCCCCGCCGGCCCACACTCCCAGAACATGCGCCCCCGACCGGACGGGGGGCCGCCAGAGCAGAGGCGTTCTCCTCGCTCCACACCGCCAAGGCCCTTGCTGTGCCCCAGACGCGGCTCCTTACAAGCAGAGCCAGGGAGAGAGAAGGCCGCGCACCCACGCCTCCCGTGGGCCCTCTTACCTGTCGTTGGGGGTCAGCTGGCAGCGTCTGATGTCTGGCACGGAAGTGACCCCGCAGCGCTTGTACTGCCCATCCCCAATGGAGCGGGACACCTCCAGCACACCCAAGACACGCCCGTCCCTGGAACAAGGGAAACACATTCAGACCCCACCTGTCCGGTTGCGGGGCCACCAGCCTACATTCCCGCTCACGGTAAACGCAGGAAACCAGGACAGAGTGCAAAACGTGCCCAGCGGGACTCAAGTCACCAGCCATGTGGATGCCCCTCGGCCTCAGACACAGAGGCTGCAGAACCCTCCACGCCCTGGGCCGGGCGGCCCCGGGGCTGCGCTGAGGTGGCCGCTGGCCTAACCTGCCGGTCTGCCCAACACGCTGGGCCGACTGGGCGGGACTAGGCAGGGGCCTGGCTGTCCTTTTCTGTTGTTTGTTATCCTAACGCTCCTCAGGTGACCGGGCAGCACCCAGGGGTAAGGGGGGGGGGACACGGCTACTTTGCACTGAAATCTAACTGGATTCGGAAACCGCTGAAACCGCCCCCAGACCCCACGGCGCCTCTTCTCCGCCCCAGGCACAGTGCGGCGCGGCACGGCTCGCACACGGTCGGTACCAGGCAGCACCGCTTTCACCCGCACCGTTTTCAGGGAGGGGACACGAAGATGGGACACCACGCTGCCAAACAGAGGCCTGCCCGCAGGGGAAGGAGGAGGGGTCCTTGGCTGGAGGCCCCCCGCCTTGCTCTGGCTGGCCACTGTGTGGCCGCAGGCAGCCGCCACCTCGGGGGCCCTCGGGTTGTCCTGCACAAAGCCAGAGAAGCCACCCCGGCAAGGTGGATGCACGCTCAGCCAACGCCCAGGCCGGCCTGGGGCCGCTGTGCGCAAGGAGACGCACGGCAGGGAGCGCGGGGCCTGGCCACCCTCCCGGGGGAAACAGCCGAGTGATCAGACACAAAGACTGTGTTGGCGCCTGTGAGAAGCCACGCTGTCCCCTCAGGTGAGACTATTAGAATGAACAGCAAGGGCTGAGGTGCACAGAGCGGGGAAGACTGCGGGGGCAGGGAGAACGGCCGCCCAGCCGGAAGCAGCTCAAAGCCTGAGTCCCGCGGGATGCCAGCTGAGGGCCTCTTCTGCGGCCACGTGGCCAGGGGCCCGCTGTGGGCACCCATCCCTCCACCAAGTCACAAGTATAGCTGGGTCCAGGGCGACCGAGGGCACCGACAGCTCCCGGCCACGGCTGGGGCAGGATGCAGGGCCGGCCACGTGCCCCACGCCCGGAGGCTGGCGGTCCCTTCTTGCTTCCTGAGTGGAGGTGCGCCCACGATGGGGCTCCCACGCTCAGCTCTGGAGTGACAGGAAGGAGCCACACGGGGAGCACCACAGATGCGGGAAAAGCTGCTCGTGTCTCAGCAGCACCGTGGCGCACCTGCCTCACGCGGCAGCCGGCGGAGGCCCAGCAGGCGCGGGAGCCATCGGCGCCAGCAGCAGACCAGCGCGGCACTGCTGCCCCCCACCCCGCCCCCGCCCCGCGCTCCCCTCGGAGCTCCCGGGCCCTCCTGCAGAGCAGGGAGGGGCTCCTCATCCCATCCCACCGCCCGTCCTGCGGATCTGCGTTGCTTCCTGCCTCACTGGGCAGCGAGCGGGTCTCCGGGATTGCTGCCGGGCCTTTCTGTCCCCATCCCTCCCTCACGAGAGAGGCGCAGAGACAGCAGCTCTGGCGGTGAGGGCGCGCGGGACACGGCGCCGACTGCAGCTCCGCCGGCTCAGGCAGGGCTGTCGGCCTCGGCCGTCCGCGAAGCTGAACCCCCTCCTGGCCACCTCTGGCACCTGGTCTCGGCTGAGGGGCGCTGCGCGGGGGAGGCGGCCCCCAGCCCAGCTCGCTGCCGGCGCCAGGGACCTGCTCATGGCCGGCCCGGCCCCCGTGCTGGCGCGCCGGCCTCAGGACGCGAGCTCACCTCGCCCGCCCAGGGCCTCCCGAGTAACGCAGAAATGAGGCTGCTCCACGCCTCAGGCGTCCGCCAGAGGCCGGGTGACTCACACACTGCTGCACGCAGCGTGCCACCTTCCGGGTAAGGACGCAGGGAACACGGGAGTGCGTCCACAGACTCGCCTTTTTGTCAGAAGAAACTTTGGAGAGAAAGGGAAACACGGGGGCGGGGACAGGCACGAACGCACGGAATCTCTAAACGTGCCTCTGTGCTGAACCGTGGGAACGTGGGCTTTGGCTTTTTAAGTTGTGATAAAAATACGTATCACGTAAAATCTGCCGCTGACCGGTTTTGCAGGGGCGGGTGAGCAGCGGCCAGGGCGCTGCTCCCGCGGGGCCCCCGGCTCCCCGAGCAGACCCCAGCCGGAGAGCTCCCCGTGCCCCGGCCTCAACAGCCCCCGTTTGACTCTTTCCCTGATGGCCTGGCCGCTACACGAGCCTTGTGCAAGGGAGCTCAGTGCCTGTCTTTTCGTATCTGGCCCGTTTCGCTCAGCATCGTGTCCCCAAGGTTCCCCTGTGTTGCAGCCAGTGACAGGGCCGCCTTCCTTTTGAAGGCGGAGTAGTGCCCCACTGTACGGACGACCAGGGGCTGCTTGCGTCTGTCCACACCCCCGCCTGTGGCTCCTCTGCGTGTCCACCTGGGAGTGGAACTGCGGACACACAGCGGTCCTGTGTTTAACTTTGCTTCCTGCCCACATGCACAGGGCCCCGAGGTCACCGTGTAAATGACCTGTAATACCGGGGAAAAGCCCCAAACCTGAAACAGATGGAAACCGGTGATCACGATGGCCAAGGTGGTGGCCGAGCACAGTGACAGCCACCGTTGCATGTGCGCTGCTTGTGCGCAAGTGCGCACGACAAGAGAACCAGAAGGACTCACACCTCAGTGATAGCAATGCTGATACCACGAATTTAAAGCAATTTTTGCAAATAAACACACTGTTGTTAGGAGCCAAGATTTTCAGCAAAAAGAGCTGTGACTACTGTGAGGTTCAGAGACAGCCTCGTACACTGTTAATCTGGAGAGCGAAGCAGCGACCGAAGCTCACAGCCTAAAAGGCTTCCTGGCTCTGGCCCTGCACAGACGCAGAGCTAGTGACGCCCAGGTGAGACAGGCATCCCCAGCCCGCGCAGCTGGGTTTCAAAGACGGATGCAGGAGTCCGCTCAAGGCACCCCCACCGGCCACAGTGGGGGTCAGCTGAGCAGGAAAAGCCCCAGAACCCGAAGGCGAGAACCGGCACCCTGAAATCCAAACGCACTGGTGCACAGTGACTTACTGTGTAACGCGGCGGGGGAGAGAGAGAGGAGCAGGGGGTGGAAGAGGAAACATGAGGCCCTGGCCGGGTGGCTCTGTCGGTCAGAGCATTGTTGTGACACGCCAGGGTCACGGGTTTGATCCCTGATCGGGACACACACAAGGACCCACCAACAAATGCACCAATAAACAAGCGGAACAACAGATCTGTGTTTCTTTCTCTCTAAAAACCAATCAATTTTTAAAAAAGGAAGAAAACACTCATTTCCACAAGGGCAGATGGCTACCTTCCTTCGCTAATTGGTAATCCAAGACTCAAACACGCGCCCTGCCTCTGGCACGAACCTGCGGTTCACACCCTGCTGCTGAGGGAAAGCCTGGCTCCTGTCAGGCGCCCGCTGCCCGAGGCCAGAACCCGGCGTGCCCGCGACACACCGACGCAGGCAAGAGCCGCCACGCTGGGACCGAACGCCGTGCGGGGGCAGGTGGGCGAAAACGGCGCGTGCACCAGGCGCCGGAGCGCGTCTTCCCGGGTCACCCGCTGACCACACAGGACACCTGTCCCTTTCCCTCCAGGACGCGTCAGCACCGCGGCCCAGCACCGACCTCATGTGGCCACTGAAGGGGGGCTCTGCCAAGGGCAGGACGGACCCTCCCTTCAATCCTGCTGCTAAAGACGTCTCGTCCAAGTTGGAAGAAGCCTTTAGATTGAGTTCCCAGTCGATAGGAAGTATGTGCGCACAGCTGAAACGGCAGACTGAGAGGGCAGGCAAACCCAGGAGGCCGTGACCCCGCGCCGCCCAGGCCGGGACCGTGGAGGCCCGCGGTGCCGAGGGGCGGCCCTGGCGGTCACGAACCCCGCCGGACTCTGGTTTCAAAGGGGCTTTGGGACAGCTGGGGAAATGCGAATGTACCCAGGACTGCAGGTGACCTGATGCAAACCAAGGGACTGTCTTCTTAGGCGTCACGTCTGCAACTGACTTCCAGGAACACAGCCTCACACACACAACGTAAACACGGCACCACATTAACTACGGAGTCTAGCTGGCAGACACTGAAACGTTCGCTCTGATTCTGTAAAAACATTTCAGAATTGTAATCGTCACAGGGGGCAGACCTGCCTCGGGCACCGTCAGACAGGCTCCCGGAGGCGCTGGGTCTGGCGCACGGTGAGCGGGTGCTGGCAAACAGGAAGCGCCTGCAGCACAGCCGACCCTTCAGCCACGGGACTGTCAACGCCAAGTCTTTTCCCGGAGCTCAGGTGACGCAGAGGGTCCCCACACTAACACCGAGGCCACGTTCTCGGACGTGAGCTGCCACGGCAGTCACCACGGGGCACGGGACATGCCCGCAGTCCCACCGGGGCCCACGCCGCCGCCTCCTGGACACAGCCCCGCCCCAAGCAGCTGGGAGGAGCCCTGCCTCCTCTCCAGGCCTCCTGCGCTGCGGCCTCTTCACCGACACCTCCCACCTCTGACAACAGGCGTCCTAATGGGCGAACTGTAAAGCCACCAGGGAACACTTCTGCTCAAACGCGTCACACTGCGGCCAGCAGCGTAGACGGACAGGGGCCGGCCCCGCGGGCCGGGGAGCCGCGCCCTGGGAGCCCCAACGGCCGCCCACCGCACGCCCGCGGCTCCGCTGTCCTCTCCGGAGAAGTCCCCTGAACTGCAGCTCCCTCAGCTGTGACACACACTAGTGTTTATGAACGCGCCTCCGAGCAGAGGGCTGTCGCTAGGCGTGACCGGGACCCTGAGACAGGCGTCCTCCCTTTGCAACTGCAGGGAGGCCTGTCTCTTGTACACATTGCTCACTCCCACGCGGACTGAGTGGGTCCCACAGCACCCGCTCACCTGCGCCCCAGGCGAGGCCTCGGACGGAGCGCCCCACCCCCACCCTGGTGCCGGCAGCCCCTGCTCACCGCACGTTCCCCCCGGCCTTCTGTATCCTCATTCGCTCTTCGTACTGGGTCGGGTTGTGCTCCTTGCTGAGGCTTAAGGCCGCGTGTTTCTGACTCTCCTCGTTGTAACGACACAGGATCGCCTGGGAACACAGAGAGCCGACCACCGTGACATCGGGGCATCAGGAGACCTGTGCCCCGGGCCAGCAGGTGAAGACAAGGCCAGCAACGGAGTCTCGGCGTCAGCCTGCTGCTGACAGACACCAGTCCAAAGTGCCGCGCTCAGAGCGGCCAGAGGAAGGGACACGCCACGGTGACGTGCGCGCCGCTGGGTGACGGCAGCCAGGTGCCCACCCCACTAGGGGGGCGAACTCCCGTGGGGACGTGACGGGGGGCGCCGGCGAGCACCAAAGCCCCTGCTGGCCTGTTCCCAGGCCCGGGGCCCCACACGGCGGAGGCGAGGACAGAGCGGCATGCAGACCAAGCGCGTCTCCACGCACCCGACACCACGCCTGCTGCGAGGTCACCCCTGGGACTCACGGGAGGCCACCCAGGCCTGGAGGGTGAGCGTCGCGCCCAGAGCCACACGCAGGGCCAGGACCCGAACCTGACTCCCACGTCCTCTGCCCTGGCCCATGTTGCTTGCGCTGGTTTACCTTTGAGCCCTCTGGTCCACGAGAGACCGAGAGGCGCGCCTGGCCGACCCGGGACTGCGCTGCGGCGGCCCTCGTGCTTTTCTCCCGCGGACACGCCCATCGCCCTCCAAGCTACAGGGGCGGGGGCGGCGCCCTCCCGGCCCGAGGGGCCGGCCTCAGGGAGGCAGCGCGCCATCCCGGGACGCCGAGGGGTGGGGGGCACCTGGAGAGCGGAACGGAGCAGAACAGAGCGGAACACGGCTCCTGCGGCTGCGAGGCCGGGCTGAGGCTGCCCTGCGGGCGCCCGCCTGCCCCTGTGGGCTGTCTCCCCCGCAGTGCCTGGGAGCCGGCCGTCCCCGGGGCGGGGGGGGGGGGGGGATACCGGGCTCCTGGGACGAACAGCCCACCACCGAGCGCTTCCTGGGCTGCAGCTGCCAAGCCGCCCCCGCCCCTGTAGCGTGACTCTGCCAGGCAGGGCTCCGAGGTCAGACACGGGAGGTGGGAGAGTGCTGCTCCTGCGCGCCGACCACATTCCAGCCCCGAGCGCGGCCCTGACGGGCCCGACCCAGGGCATGAAGACGCACGGAGGAGCACGTGTCCGGGCTCGCAGGCGGAAGGGGTCTGCTACCGACGTGGGCCTGCCGGGCGGCCACCCCGCCCCAGAGCCCCCGCCGCCCCGCCCCGGAGCCCTTGTCTCCTGCGAGCGCGCACGCGGCCGCTCTTTCCCCTGGAGTGCGCCAGTGTCCGAACGGGGCTGCGGGCCACGTACCCGGCTGTCTCCGAGGTTGGCGATGTAGAGGATGTTGTCCACAGCCAGCACGCACGTGGCGGTGGACCCGTCCTTCCAGGCCGGCTTCCTGGGGGGAGACATCAGAAACAGTCGCCACCACCACGCGCGCACTCTGAGACGCGGTTCCAGAGTGGAACGGAGAGGGTCTCACACTCTAGAAGCTACGGTTCCCCCAACCTTTCCGTTCCAGATTTCAGATAACAGCTGTAAGAGCTTGGTGCTGGGCGCTTTTCAGACAGAGCGTTAGTATAAAGCCGAGCCAGGAGACACGGCACGCGTTGAGCCGAGTAACCCACACCCCGCGCGCCCGCCCTCCCGTGGGCACACTCACTGGCTTGAGGCCTGCTTGAGGAACTCTTCGTCCGTGTGCTTGAACGTGTCCAAGAGGCACCTCCGCACAGTCTTCTCCACGCTGGTCACGTCTCCTATTAAGGAAGAACCAACGGAGGAGGGAGGTGACCCTCCGCCCCGTCACTGTTTCTGAACTGTGACCCAAAACCACCTGTCTCCTCACCTACAGGACAGTGCCACTTGCTTTGGTGGCAGCAGGCTCCTAAGTGAAAAGGCAAGACCCTTGCTGGCCCCACGGACACGTCCTAGGAGGTGCCCGTGGCTCAGAGGCCCACGAAGCGCTACGAGACGCGGCCGCACATCTCACACCAAAGTGACATCTCGCTAAGTCACACAAACAGCAGATACCGAGAAGAACGGGAGTGAATTTAGTTCTCAGTCTCACCTTTAGGAAATTTCCTGATTAAGTTCTGATGCAAATTCTGTGCAGCAAATTTTGAGGCTCGGATTCCTCCGTGTCCATCAAAAACGGCAAAATAGGAAACCCGGGCACTAGGGGACAGAGAGTCGTGAGGGCGCCAGCACACGTCGCTGCCCTTGCTTGATCTTCTCGGCCTCGCGCCTGCAGTGACCGCGGACGCGCAGGTCCGCCCGCTGCTGACGGCCGCCCACGGAAAGCAGGCAGTGACGGTACCGAGACTGACGTGTGAGCAACTTACGGTATTTTAAAACTAAACACTCACATTTGTTAAAAAAAATCAAGGTCTATTAACTCTGGTTTTTCACCAAAAGTAAAACTAGAATCCAAAACTTTTTTCTTCTCTTTTTTGAGATTTTATTTTAGAGAGAGGGGAAGGGAAGGAGAAAGCAAGGGAGAGAAACATTCATGTGTGGTTGCCTCTCGCGCGTTCCCTGCTGGGGACCTGGCCTGCAACCCAGGCCTGTGCCCGGACCGGTGACCTTCCGTTCGCAGGCTGGTGCTCAATCCACTGAGCCACACCAACCAGGGCCAAAACTTTTTTCTATTTAAACCAGACCTCATTTCAAACACTAAGACATAGACAGTCAGTCACTAATCCAGGAGAGTCAAAACACCTGTAAGGCCCTGCCTGGCGTGGCCCGGCCGGGCTGGCATCACTCTGCAAACAAGGGTCGCCCATCTGATGCCGGTGAGGGCCCACACCTGGGTTGTGGGCCAGATACTCAGGGTGCGTGCGAGAGGCAACTGATCACTGTTTCTCTCCTTCTTTCTTTCTCCCTCCCTCCCCCACCCATCCTCCTAAAAAGAAAAAAAATTTTTTTTAGATCTGTAAGGACTTGTGGTAGTTTCAGGGCTGCTACTCAGACTTTGACCTCCCCCGCTGAACCACGCACCTCCAGGGCGAACGAATACGAGGGGGACGGAGCCCCACCTGCGTCCGAGCTCGGCCCAGAGGCCTGTCTGCGCAACGGCCCAGCCGGCCGCGGCGGGGACACTCACATGAGGGACGAGGGGGGCCTGCACGCCTCGGTGATGTCGTTCAGGATGACGTGGGCGTCCTGCATCTCCTCCCGCTCGCCCTTGCGCTCGGCCACGTAGCCTTTCAAGCCAAAAATCACCGAGGAGGCTGAGGAGAGAACAGAGAGCCAATACAAACGGTGCCCGCAGGGGCCCCGTCCCAGAGCAAGCGAGTGGGCCCCGGCTGTTCGACTCTCAGTGGGCAAACAACAGGCGCCCCCGCCCCCGCCTCGCCCCGCAGCGAGTCCCTGCCCCGGCCTGCTGGGGGTCAGAGCCCTGGAGGGAAGTGCCCGGTCACGCCCGGAGGGGTCCGCGTCGGGAAGGGGATTCGTGCACGTCTATTTTTGTCAACAATTTAACGAGGACAGGAAAACTGGTGGAGAGAAATGCAGGAGGAGTTTCTCCCCAAGGTCCTGGTGGGCGCCCGGAAACAGGGATTCCCCAGCTGGCGAGACCAGCAGCCTGTCCTCTGATGGAGAGAGAGGAGGACAAAGGGGCCCCTGAGGCACAGGCTCCCCATCCTCCATCCAGCTCGGCGCTCTGACCCCTCGAGCCGGGCACAGAATAAGGCAGCGAGCGCTCTCCGAGGGCGCCATGAGCTCCACTGCACGCCGGCGTGGGCCCCGCAGCCGGGAGAGACCCCGTGGCCACGGGCGGCGCCGTCAGGGCTGCGACCGAGGCCGCTGCAGCCCCCTCCCCGATGCCTCTTGCTTCTCCCCACTGCAAGCGGGCGCAAAGCTGACTGCGACTCTCAACTGCCTCCCCGCCACGGGCTCTCTCTGGGGAAGCTGCTCGCTGAGCAACCCAGGAGTCAAAGTGCTAATCATCAGGCTGTGAACACGGACGGGAGCCCCAGGGAAGCAGGTGGGAGCAGGCTGACCGCTTCCTGGACAGGGCTCAGCAAAGACCCCCCGGGGCCCAGGCCAGGGACGAAGCCAGGGCCGGACTTGGGGCGGCCGTGGGGAGGAGGGCGAGAACGCGGAGTAAGCTCTGGGGATGGCTTTTCAAAAAGGGAGCCCTACCCGCTTCTTAAACACAGACACACAGAGGAGGGAGTATCGTCAGAAAGCTGAGCTTGGTTTTGCTCTGGGTCGTTTAAATTATGAAGTCTAATACATTTGTTTTCAAACTGTCTGAAAACCTTTACAAACTTTCTTTTCCACAAGCTCTTCACTGCCATTCTCCTCTTCTTCAGAGGGCTTTCTCTTTGCTCCTTTCCCTTCGTTCTTTACCGGCTGGGACAGAGACGCGTCAGGAGAACCTGGAAATGAAGGGAAAGCCAGACAGAAACAGCTGTAGACGTACAACTCGCGTCCCTGCGGCCCTGGGAGGCGGGCGCCGTTCCCTGCGCCCGGCCCTGAACCCCCGGCAGCTGGGGGAGGACCTGCGGAGAGGCCTCCCGTGGTCGGGGAGACACCGAGCTCCAGGCTGTAGCTCCCACAGGGCGCTCTACGGCCAGGCCCCGGTCTGCCAACAGGGAGCGGTCCAACACCTGCAAAGTGGCCCACGCTGAACAAGCCCAAATGTATTACAAGCACCCAAAAGGGCTTAAAATGAGGCAAACGTCGGGCTCTAAGAACTGTGTGGACCCCCAAAGGCGAAGCAGGGCCGCGGAAGCCATTCCTGCGGGCAGCGGGGTGAACTGTGCTCGAAGCCCGAGCTGAGAGCACCTGCAATGTGCGTGCCCCTGGTTTCAAGCCCCCGCCCCGCCGCTCCCGAGAGCCACCCCAGAGGCGAGCACCTCAGCCTTCCAGCTGCGTCCCCTCCTGCAGCTCGGGAGGAGGCGGCCACCTCCGAGGGCTGTTCAGAAATGGGGGGGACAAGGACACGAAGCAGCTGTCACAGTGCTTGGTCCAGCAAGCACCCAGCCGAAGGCCAGTGTCCCCTGGCCTTGGGTACGGAAGCACGCGGCTACGGACTCAGCTCCCCTTTGCCAGGCACCCCGAGTTCCCAGGAAAACGAAGATGATGTCCCAGCATCTCATAACATGTCCTTTTTCAAGTAAGTGACTCTTCTTTTATTTCCACAGCGGTACAACGTGGCGCACACACCCCGCCCCACGGAACATGGCAGATGAACCGAGAGAACGTCCTGGCTGTTTATGACAGACGCGCGCCGTGGCCTCCCCATTAGCCTCCTGCCCCCGGCTGCCTGTGCCCCCGTGTCCCCACGTGGGTGGAGCAGAACCGCCCTTGGTTTTGAACGGCAGGACAGAGAAAAGTTTAAAGCCGCGTTACTGACTTCCAGCCGAACCACACTGTAGTCAGAGAATGTGGCCTCTCTTGTGGGATTTACTTTACGTCCCAGAACGTGGTCAATCTTTGTGAATGGTTCTTGCCTGAGAAGAATGTCTTTTCAAGGAATCCAAAATATTGGACGCAAGATTGGATTCTGTTATCACACAAAAAATTCAAACTTGTTTATAGTTACGTTGAAATCTTCTAAGCCGTGACTAGTTCGCTGTCGCTTGCCCTATGGATAACTAAGACATCGTGCTGACTTGTCCTTAGTTTTATTAACTTGGTTAAGCTCCCCAGCTGCGCACAACTTCCGGTGCAAGTGAGAGCGCCGTCTCTAGCGGGAGGCGGTGGGAGGCCGAGCTGCGCGACCGCGGTGGGACTGCTCAGCTCGGCTCCGTGGGGTGGTCGCAGTGCCGCTTCGGAACACGGGCTGCACGGAGTGGGCCCCCATCTTCTAGACTCATCCGACGGTTGTAGGGCAATGAGTGAGTAATACAAAACAGAGCCCGGGAAGGCGAGTGTTCTATTTGACAGCACACAGGTTTTCACACCAAAAGACAGCTGCGCGCTGAAGAGGACAGACGGCACGCCCCTGCCCCTGCCCCCGCCCCGCGTGCCCTCCCGGGGGGGGGGGGGGCCGCGAGTGAGGGCTGGGGAGATGGGCTCGGCTCCTCGCCAGGACAGCCCGGCGGTCTGCTCCGTTCTTACCTGCGACTTAACCGGGACGGACAGCGGGGCTGAACGTCTACTGAACAGGTGGAGCCAATGTTAACAGGCTTTGTGAATATAAAATTAATAAACAGAATCTTGGGAACATAGGAACTCACTGAAAAGCGACTTAGGCCTAGAATTTCAGGGTGATTCCTGCACAGGGTCTGTACCAGCCACTAAACCCGTGTCATTCTCTTTAAGAATTTGTTTATTTATTCTTAGAGAGGAGGAGGAAGAAAGAGAGGATGAGAAACAGCGAAGTGACAAACATCGGTGGCCTCTCACGCGCGCCTCAACCAGGGACCTGGCCCACCGTCCGGGCGTGTGCCCTGACCGGGAATCGAACCGGCGGCCATCCGCCCTGGGGAACAGTGCCCAGCCAACCGAGCCACAGCGGTCAGGGCCGGACTTCATTTTCTTAAATCAACAGTTTAATGTAAACGGCACAAAACAGAAGACCTATTTACCAGTTTTTACGGGTTCACGGGTATTGGAAATATTTTAAGTATATTTCATATATTCAGATACTTTGGCTACATATGTTAGGGTCAGGAACATACGGCAAAACAGAATGAGATACTGAGATTTAAAAAAGCGAAACAAAACATTAATAACAAAGACAAAAGTAAATTACTTAACTCTTAATTCCTAGTCAGTTGCTAGAGGCTGAACCCAGAGGGGGAAAAACCATCCAGAAGTGGGCGTGGTATCTCAGTAGCTCATCTTTTTTGCTTCCTTGTGGTGGCTGGTGCCTGTTTAGTTTGAACAAACCTTGCGCTACGCTGTAATTTCATGTCACCCTAAACCCATTCAGAGCTATAAATAAATTCTGCGTGAGCGGCAGAGACGCACTACCCCCACCGGCACGCTGGGTTTTTCCTACCACTTACCTGGCTCGCCACTGCTGGCCGGCGGGAGGTCGTCAAAAAGCAAAGGTCCCCCTGGCCCTGAAACACAGCAGGACACTGAGTGAGCCCGGGGCACCCGGGCGGGCGGGAGGGTCGGCGTCCACCCCACCCGGGCGCCTCCACAGGCCGCCGGGCGCCCTCGGGCCGCCGTGTCCGCCCAGGGCCCCTCTGCGGCGCACGGCTGGAACCTATTTTCAAATCCTGTCACTGAGAGGACACAAAAGCCTGCCTTAAGGGGGTACCTTTCTGTTTCAGCAAGAAAACACTCCAAGGAGCCCGAGGGCCGCTCTGGGCGGCCCACGTCCCTCGGAGCCGCGGCCGTGGGCGCACGGCCTGACCGCCGGCACCTGAGGCACCTGCGTGCTGAAAACGGGGCGGTGGGGGAAAGGCTAAGACACCACCGTCCCAGGACAACACGGTGACGCACGCCTGGGAGGCCTGAGGACTGTACCTGCGTCAGCACTGCGGGCCGGAGGGAGGTCGTCCAAGAGCAGGGGTCCCTTCTGGGCTTCTTTCCCTAGGACACGGAACACCGGCTGAGACAGCGCCCGGCCGAGGCCGGCATGGCTTTGCCAAGGGGGGAGCTCGGAGGTACGTTTGCCATTCAGTTCAATTTCTCTCCTCTCGTGGGGCAAAATTTATTTTTAGAAATATTTTCTTCACCACTATTTAACATGGACACTTGTTTCCAACACTGACAGTCAACGGGAATGCAATGAAAGGTGACTCAATGCGCATTTTAAGGGCCATTGAGTATTTCGAGAGAGACAAAATATTTTTCTTGATAATTTCAGTATTGAGAGCAACAAGTATGTTTAATTTTTTTTTAAGTGAATCCTGGAAGGAAAAAAACTGATTCCAGAGTAAGAAAATAATTTGGTACCTCCAGACAGAACGTCAGTGACAGAGGGACTCTCTGAAGACCTACAGTTCCTAACAAACCCCCTTCAGTGACGCTCTGAATTAGCCGTGGAGCGGACTCCAGCGCCCGCACACAGAGAGGCGGCCCAGGCAGCCCCACGTTTTAGCCCGGCGCCCTCGGCACAGGGCCCGACTCAACGCGCATCTACAGAGGAGGTGGGGAGTTTCAGATCCTCCAAGGTAAAGCCAGGAGAGAGCCAGACAAATCTCGTATCTGAAAATCTGAATGTTTACACAATGGAGTGATGGTCTTCAATGTGTTAGATTCGGTTACCCCTCCCACAGAAAAGTCAGCCCCCGCTCCTTATTCTCAAACGTCCCCCACAGTTCCGCGTCAGCCATCGGCCCCCACGAAGCCGCGCACCGACCGGACGTGGGCTCGGTCCCACCCGGTCCTCAGCGTCCAGGCGCAGAAACATGCCCACGGAAAGGCCCGTTCACCCACATGACCTTTTGCCTCTACGTAGACATGAACGGGGTACCAATTCTACCCTTTTAAAAACAAAATGAAATCTGTGTGCTCCAAAGAAAGGACACCCCCTCAGCAGTCTCCAGGTCGGAAGCACCTTAGACACCTGCTATGCCCCGATTCAACAAGAAGCAGTTCCCCTGCTTTATCCCCTGATGCAGCTAGAATCACCTATTCATTGACGCGTATGCTTATCCCTCAGGGTCACCCTTAACAAACTAAGCAGTGGCGAATACTCTCGTTTTCCTCCCAAGCGGCACAGGGCCTCCAGGAAGTACTCACCAGCAGCATCAGGAGGACACTGCAGGGCGTCCTGGACGGCCCCGGCCAGCGTGGCCCAGCTGGCCGGCGCGCCGTCCCGTAACCGAGAGGTCGAGGGTCCGGTTCCGGGGAGGGGCGCAAACAGCAGGCCGCTGGTCGATGCCCGCCCCCCCGCCCCCCCCGCCGAAAGCAACGCACAGAACGGGGACCGCATTGCTCAGTGTCGCGCACGCCTCGTTGCTCACCTAGGCCTCCAGGGCGCGTGCCGGGCTGGCACAGCGGGGCCTACGACTCTCCACCAGTGGCGCGCTCCACAGCTCAGGAAGCAGGGCCTGTCACCTGCCCGGCTCCCTCCCGACTGGCGCGCAGGCCAGCGCTGGCTCCCACATGACAGGCAGCGCCGCAAGGAACACCCTGAGACACAGGCGCGTGTGCTGCTGGGCTGCCCGACGAGGGTGTGAGCAGTCTGACAGGTGCCGCAAAAGGCTGCGCTCACGCCCCTCCCCACACGCGCTGGGAGAGCGTCCCGCCGCCGCCCTCCTCACCAGCACGCTGCCGGTGCGGGGCCCTGGGGGCGGGCAACGTGGCACACGGTGGCCGGCTCCCCTCCTAGGGGACTCCGGCAGCGGAGCCCACTGCCTGGTGGCAGGCTACCCGCCTGTCTCCTTCCAGGGCCTGCCCTGATACGGCCTCGGACCATTTTCCTAATGGGCTAGCTGTCCTTTGCTCATTGCCCTGCACGAGCCTTTCACTTCTTAGAGACAGCGACCTTTCCCAGTGCCCATCACAATGATTTCCTCTCGTTTCGTCTCTGCCTTTGTGGTATTTTGCCCTGCAGAAATTTTTTATTTTTACACAGTTAAATCCATTTTTATTTTTTGACACGAGTTTTTTCTTGCTCAACCCTGAAGTTTTACGATTAGTCTAAGTTTCCTAATATCTTAACGTTTATTTTATATTTAGGGGTTTAATTGTAAAAGAGCTGTTTTGAGGGCAACCCGCAAGCACGGGTCCCACAGGCCTCGACAGCTGCCGCCAGTGTGGGGATCAACTGTGTGTGTGAACTTGACTCGGCCATCAAATCTGTAAGGGCTGAGATGAAAAATACTAATTTTGCACAAAGTCTGAGAACATTTACAGGCACACCTTGCTTCGCTCTGCTCCCCTTCACTGCACTTCGGAGGTGTTACCTTTTTTTATCAACTGAGGACAAGCCCCCCCACCTGCAAAAAGACGACGGCCTCGCTGTGCCGTGACGCTCCCTGCCGGCGTCTGGCTCCGGAACAGCTCCGAGGCATGCCTGTAACGTGTTCCTCCTGCACTTCTAACTATGTAAGTTTAAGAGGCTTGGAAGTTGGAATATTAGATGTGATGTTTAAACAAAAATTAAAGAACTAAACAAAATACACTGTATATACCTGAGTGGTGTGCTATTCCCTCCCCTTGGATACTTAGTGTTTTGCCCAAATCCAGCAGAGAGCGCATTTCCCCCGCCTCCCACAGCCACTCAGGTGCCAGCTCGCACAGTGACGTCACTGAGCGCGCCCCGCGCCCTGCCCCAGGCCCTGGCACAGGGCGTGCGGAACGGCCAGGGAGGGCAGTTAACCAGAAGGGAGTTGGGAGGCGAGACTGGCTGGACTACACACCCTGAACAGCTCCGGCTTCCTGCACCGGCCCAGGAGTTGGTGGCCCCCGCCCACCCGTGCGAGGGTCACGAGCGCGCAGTTCGGCCGCCTCCTTCCATCCACTCTACAACGCCAACCTCAGTTCCCATTCACTTTCTCCATTTTCGTCGGTCAATACCATCGATTTTCTGAAACAAGCATAGTGCTTAGTTTTTCAAGTATCGTGCTGTGGTCACAGATGGTGAAATCAGATTCGGGTTTTGTTCAAACGACTGCTTCGACCTGTGCGGCCCCACCCTGCTGGTTTTGACTAAATGCCTGTCGCGCGAAGTCCAGACCCCAGTTCTGTCACTTGCGCAGCACTCACGCCTCAGCTTCCCGCCATCTACACACACACCCCCCTTCTGTTCTTAAAAACACTCCGGGCCAAGAGGGCCTGGGACAGTGCCAGCGCCCCCTCGGAGGCGGGGAGCGCGCCCTGGTCCCTCCGGGGAGGGGCTGGACCACCATGCAGTGCCGCAGCGCCCCGGCTTTGCCGCCAGGGGTGGGGGTGCCCTGTGTCTGGTCGCAGGCTTCTCACGAGGACGTAAAGGACAACACAGGGAGTGGTCAGTCATACCGCAAGAACTCGGGAAATACAGGCACGGTGCTGGACGGCTACTAGACTTACGGGTGGGGACGGATCTCGTTTTAAGTTATATAAAGGATCGCTGCACTGTACACCTGAAACTAATATAATACCGTGTGTCAACTGTGAGTGGGAAAAGCTTTTAAACGGTCCTCAGGTGTTGCATCATCTCAAGGACACCTTCCGCTAAGCGGACCCAAACTGATTTCGAGGAGAAAGTTATGGAGCTTCTTTTTTAAATGATACGCTTATAGGCACATCTGTGAAGCTAAACTCTGCCCCAAACGTATTCAGATAAGGCTTGTCCTCACCAACAGAGGTGAAAACACTGCGCACACAAAGCCAGTTTTATGCACAACTGAACCACCTAGAAAATGAATGGCCAGGCGTTCGGGCTCCAGCACCAGTTACTCAGATGCTTCTGCCTCAGAACGGTGAGTGGGGGTGGGACGGTGCCATTACTGGGTACAAAAGCAGATGGAGACTGGCCGGGCCAGTCCCATGGGACAAGCCCACAGGCAGGCACCGGGGTGCAGAGGAGGGCAGAGCACGCCTCTGCGGGGCCCCAGGATGCAGAACCGCTCCACGCTGGGCGCTCAGGCAAAGTGGAGAACCAGACGCCCTCCTCAGAGCACTCCCCTGCCCTGCCTGGGGTCTCTGCCCAAACCAAGTCCACGCGTCTCCAGAGGCCCTCGTCCCGCACCGGGGCCTTCCCCGCTCCCCCCGGACATAGGCACGCCTCTGGCCCTCAGCCGTTCCTGGGGTCCTCAACGTCGGCCCGCCTATCTCTATCACGGGCACGGAGACCTGTGCTTTCAGAAGGGCAAGGCCGGGTCTCGTTCCGCCCGAGCCCGGCAGCAGTTCCCAGCTCGCGGCCCCGGGACTCCTGCCGGGCTGGGAACTTTCGGATGCAGTGGGGGTGAGCCTGGAAACCTGGATGTTTTTCCAGTGTGTCAGGGTTTCTGCCACCAAGTTAGGCTTGGAAATAAGCACGGAAACGTGAATGAGCCTTGCCCGGTCAAACCTGCGGTGGCCGTAACCGGCCGGACACCCGGCATTCACAAAGGCACTGGGTTCGCCCGGCTCTTGCGCGGGGCTCCCACCGCAGCGGCAGGGACTCGCACCCGCAGTCGGGGCCGTGGCCGGTGGGGGTGCGTGGCCGGCGCCCCCGACTCTGGGCAGAGGGCGGGCTTCCTGTGACCCGGGAGGCACGGGAAACTACTACCAATCGAAAAACCAGACGGACACAGAGGATGCCTCAAAACCACGAAGGATGCCGCTGGTGACCCCCTCCATCTCTGGGGTGAAAACAAAGCAAAACAGAACGCTGAACTTGCCCACGCCGCGGAATCGAGGGACACCGGTTTCGACGGGGTCGGCGGGCGGCGGCACCGTGCACGGCGGGCAGGGGCCCGGCCCGCGCGCCACGTGCGTAGGCGGCAGACCCCGCGCGGGGCCCGCGGGTGGCGGACCGGGAGCTGGGCGGTCGGCGCGGGGGACCGCACACAAAGGCCGCGGCGGCCAGCGCTGCCCTCGGCCCGCGCGAGCCCTTTCTTCCTACGCAGCGAACATGGCGGAGGCTCCGGGGCTCCCGGTACGCAAGCTGGGCCGGCCCGGGGCAGGCCGCGCTCGCTCTCTCGCTCCGCCCGCCGCCCGCCTCCGGCGCCGCGAGTCTCCAGGCCGCCGCCAGCCTACACTCCCGACGCCCCCTTCCCCTTGTCGGCAGGTCGGCCACTCGCTTACCGGTAGCCGGGCGCGGCGAGCGCTCGGGCTCCGGCAGGTCCCCGAACAGGTCCATGGCGGAGGCTGGGCGATGGTAGCGGCGCTGGCGGCGGCAGACGCGCAGCCCCGGAGCGGCGGGGCCTCCACACCCGGCGGCAGCGTCTGCGGCAGCGGCGGCGGGGCGGTGGCGGCCTGGGCGCTGTCAATCACCCGAAGGCGGGCCAGGAACGCCACCAATCGGCACGCGGCGTGAGCCGGCCGTCCAAGAGTCCTGCGCGCGGGAGAAGCCGAGCGGTGGGGAGGCGGGGCGGGGCGCACGCGCGCAGAACTCTGGGGCGGCGGACCCGATGCCATGGCCCCCGTGTTTTCCCCCGCCCCCTACCCCTCGCAGTCCTTTGGCCTTGGCGCCCGTTCGGAGAAGGCGCGCCCAGAGAGAGCTGTCTGAGCTCAAGGGTGACTGTAGTGCGCCCTGATGTCCGGGAAAGCTCCGTGGAGCTTTTCACTGGCGTCCGCCCCGTCGCCTTCCCCGCACGGCGTGGCGAGGCCAGGCCTCCGTTCCTGGCCCATTCATTGCAGCGATGGCGAAACCGAGGCTGGACAGAGCGGCCTCGCGCGTTAGGACCGAAAGCAGCTAAGATGCAGGATGGACCGGAGGCATTTCTACCTTCCCCGCTGCCCGCGGTCTGCATCCTGCATCCCTCCGGCGGGTGGGGGGAGCCGGAAAGAAGGGCTTTCAAGTGATGTTGCAGAAAAACGTCGTGACCACGGCAGAGGGCTGTTCGCCTATTCAAGCGTGGACGATAAGCGACCACGTGTTACATCGGACAAGTTCAGGGTAGGCCTGCTTGGCGGCCTTACAAACTCAGAGACCTCGAGTACCCACACAGGGTGGTCTGAAATTATAATTTAACTGAACACAAGTCATGGCAGGTAGGCACGTCCTGGATGGGTATCTTCCCCGACAAAGGTCAGCCTTTCCTTAGCTGAGCCTGTCGTCTGTGTGCACGTGTGGTAACATACCATTGGAGTGTCAGGGTGCATCAGGGCAGCGCCCTTTTTCCCAGACCCCTCATGACGCAGCCTCCCACCAGAGGTTTGTCCCACCAAATGCCATTCCTCTGTGCTGTAAATATTGACTGTTAACTGTACCCACTAATGTAAGTGAAGTCTGTGTCTCTCCGGTTTGCTTTGTATCCGATCTGAGACTTCCGTTTCTTTGCTTTCTCCCACCTCCCTAATCGACCACCAGTGGGTTTCATGTAACCCCCTTACATAACCACAAACTGCAAAACTACCCCCAGCACCTGGCACCTAACAGATGCTTGTATGTATTGGTTGGATGGATGAATAAATGAATAAATATGTCCATTTTTGATGCTCAAAGGACGTAACACAGCCTTCCTACCTCAGGAGCGGTCCTCCTGGGCGCTGCTGGCTTAGGACTACCCAAAAGCATCTCGCTGGTTTGCTCTTAGAAAATGATCATATATCCGGATGGTGTGGTTCAGTGGATTGAGTGCCGGCCTGCGAACCAAAGGGTCACCAGTTCAATTCCCAGTCAGGGCACGTGCCTCGGTTCCCAGCTGGGTCCCCAGTAAGGGACACATGAGAAGCAACCACATACTGATCTTTCTCTTTCTCCCTCCCTTCCCCTCTTTAAAAATGAAAGAAAATGATCATATATCTGATTTGAGACCTTAAACCGTCTAAAGACAAGGAAAGCACCGGATGTCCCAGGACACTGGGTGCCTACATGGCAGGGGATATTTTCCAGTTTTCTGCAACAATCGCACCCATCCTACACACTCTCCTAAAATGTGTCCTTGCCGCTCCTCCTCTCAAGAGGCAGCGGAGTCTGCCCCTTGAACCAGAGCGTAGAAGACGTTCAACTTATGATTTCCAAGGCAAGGCCACCAAAGGCCATGCAGCTTAGGCCTGGTTCCCTGGAGGCGTTTGCTTTGGACAGTCAGTCACCAAGTCAGTTCAACTGCTCTGAGGCTGCTACGCTGGAGAAGCCACACGTGGGCACTGTGCTCAACAACTCGGAGCTCCGAGCCAACTGCCAACTGCCAGCCTTGCCCAGTGTCACCTTGGACACCCTCAGGTGGCCCCAGCCCCAGGCAACATCTGACCTCATGAAGAACCCCGGGCAAGGGCTGCCCAGCTGCGCATTTCATGAATTCCTGGCCCACAGAATAATGACCAAAATCAAGTGGTGGTTTAAACTGCTAAGTTTCGGGCCCTGTAATGCAGCAGCAATGACTGAACCGCCTGTTACACAGGCTCATTCTGTGCACTGCGTGTGGGCAAGTGAAGATAATGACAAGCGACTGTTCTGTTTTCCATGGCAACGGGGAGAGGGGTTTTATAACAACTCTGGTCTGGGGAAGCTGCATAAATATCCAGTCTCTCACACTGCGCCAACGTAACTGATGGTGTTTTGCTTATTGAGAGCCATGTCCTTTAAGGCAGGGGCTGTGAACGAAAAAGGGGCCACGTCATAAACCTGACAAGCTCAGGGGCCCCACGGCAGGCCTGGCCAGCTCAGGGACTCGCGGTGACCACTCAGCGTGGTCTGACCGCAAATCCCTGCCTGGGCAGGCGATGGCAAGGCGCCCACTCCCAGGCCGTCAGCTTTCTGCGCCAAGGTCAGTCTTGACTTTGAGGGAACCCTGTCTGTTTTCCTTAGGCATCTAGGATAACATGTCAGCGTTGTTTTCCTGTTTTACCCCTTGAAGTCACAACCACTGGCACCAGAGCAGAAGGCCACACTGTTACCTTGTTTCCAGGTAGCATCCCTGTGTACCGTGGTAACATCAGCTGTCCTGTACCCACGAATGCAAAAGTATGGTACTCCATTTGCTTTGTATCCAATCCGTGTTCCCATCTTTGCTTTCTCCCGCCTCCTTAATCTGCCATCCACGGACTTCCTGTAACTCTCCCTGCTCTTACCTCTTTTCCTTTGATTCTAATGTGTAAAATAAGATGCAGAACTCCCCTTCCCCAGAGTGTAACCTCAATCCATTGAGATTCCACTTCTGGGCATGTGCTCAAAATTTGGCTCGTACAAACCTGTGAGGCTTTCCTAGGGGTGGGCGGGGGGCACTCTACAGTCAGCCCAGAGAACCCTGAGCGCTGGGTGCCCCTGTGGGGCCAGGCCCTAGCGAGGTGCTCTGCAAGTGTTAATTTGATGTAATCTTTCAACAGCCTGTAAGGAAAGTAATACTGCCTTTGACAGGTCTGCAGAAGGTTCCCCTGGAATCTCAGGTGAGATCCCATCAGCACTAGAGAGAAAAGTCTAGGACTAGAAATACTAGTTCCTATACCCACTAGCCAGGGTGGATTAACCTTGTAATACATGGGACCCCGGTTTGCATGCACGCACCAGTGCACATGTGGAATGCAAAGAAATGGCTAAGGATCCGAAGGGCGCTCGTACCTGATACCCACAGAACCTCCTGCCAGGGGCTTCCTTTTGGGTCGAGGGTGGAGCGCAAAGGCCTGGATGCGGGGCTGCCGCACCTCGGTCAGGGAGCAGTTAGGGAGGTGGCTGAGACAGCCATGGTAGGGGTCTTAAATGCTAGGACGTGAGTTTAGCTCAACGTGGGAGGCATATTTTGCAGCTGGAAGAGTTTCAAGTGTTCCAAAAAGGCATAAAGGGGCACACCCTCGCCTGCTTCCCCCGTTTGCAGCCTGCAGTCATTTCACAGAACTGCACACCCAGCCAGTGTTGCAGCAGGAAGAGGTCCGGGGGCCCTGCACTCTTCCCCCTCCCCATTAGAAGGGGGCGTGGCCTCCTCTGAACCTTCCTTCCAGGTTGTTTGTTGGCTTCCCTTTATCTAAAAGTGGGGTGCCACAGGGCGAGATTCTAGATCCTCCTCGATTTAGTCTCTTCCAAAGTTATCTGTGTTAGTTCTTTGGCTTTAAATACAGCTGCACTCTGCCCTGGCTGGTGTGGCTCAGTGGATTGAGAGTTAGCCTGTGAACCAAAGGGTCACCAGTTTGATTCCCAGTCAGGGCACGTGCCAGGGTTGTGGGCCAGGTCCCCAGTAGGGGGCGCTTGAGAGGCAACCAGTCATTGATGTTTCTCTCACTCTTTCTCACCTCCACCCGGCCCCTCTCTAAAAATAAATACACCTGTGGTCTGATGACACATTCATGCATAACTCATGTCTCTTCTGGGAACTCTACACACATATACCCCTAGCGGTATCCTTGACATCACTTAGATGTCTAATAGGCAACTCAAATTAAACATATGCCAATTACAACAGCTGCTCCGTCCCTGAAAACCTGTGCTCCCCAGCCTTTCTCAAATCACCACTCATTGAGGGGCTCCTGCCAAAACCTAGCTGCCACCCTTGACTTCTGCCTCCTCTGTCCCTTGCTGGCCCCGTTAGAGAAACCACCCCCTACCCGGGGTCTTTTGTCCTACGGTTTTTCTGTGCTTGCCACCGGTAGGAACTGTGGCTCTCGATGCCGGAGTTTGGTAAAAAGGCACTGTTTAATTAAAAGTTTTACAGGTTTAGAATCATTGTGGAATTCTGCCATTAAATCCCACTCCCTGTAGAAACGAAGATACACCCACACACAGTCCGGCACCCCCCTGCCCCCCTCCCCCCAAGTCAGGCCAGCCTCAGCGCGTGCCAGTCAGAAGGACCACCTTCCAGGAGGGAAAAAGCAGAAGTCCGCAGCTCTCCCGGTTCCGCCCTGCAAGCCGTGCTCCGCCAGGCAGGCCTCCCGCCGTTCCCAGCACCAACAGCCCTGCAGCTGCAATCTCGATCCCCAGTTCTTAATCCAAAACCGCGTGGCCCCTCCTCAAGGCCAGCCAGAGCCCTCTCAGCGCCTGCCGACCCCCTCGGGTCCTGCATTGTCTCCCGCCCCACGTGGCCACCCACCTTTTGCCTTTTTGCTTAAATCCCAGCCTGGACCCTCCTCCCTGACCCCATCCCCGACTCCTCCCACCGTCGGCTGCACCTGCCAGTCCCGTGTTCTCTGCCTTTCTCGGCTGCCAGTTAGTCCTGGCAGGCGCGGTCCCACCTGGAGGACCATCACCAAGTGCTCGCACAGGCACCGTAATCAGGGGAGCGGCCTCCCAGCTCCATCCCGGGCCCAGAGCCCGTCTCCCTGGCCCGAGCCCACTATGGGGCTGGCTTGCTGTTACCGCT